TGGCTTCGAGCCATGTTACCCGAATATAAACTGAGCCCGCTCTTCGTACCGAATAGACTAATTACGTTAAAAGCCACCGCGTCTATCAGTTTACAACGGAATTCACTTGAATTTATTACACGAGAGCCGTTCTATAAAAGTTTTCCATACGTGCCGCTGCCGGTATAAACGGCAATAAAAACAGTCACTTTTGCTGTGTTCTATTTATATCTGTCCTCTTTATATTTTTACTTTTCTTTTCTTTTACTTTTTGGCGAAAATTTTATTTACAAATGTCAGTGTTTACATAGCATTAATGTAGAATAGACAGGAAATGTGTAACATTTTATCATTTTATCTTTGTCATTACACGCTGTTGCGTATTTAATAAAGCGCAGGCCAACCATACTTTATAATCACGTATTTTACTTTATTTTCAATATTTACTGTAATGCATGTAATAAAACACAATGTATGTACCTATATGAATAATTACTGAACTTTTATCGATACTTCTAAGTTAAAAGAGTACACTTTCGAATTAGAAGCTTTCGCTGTTAATTATATTTTATTATGTCACAGAAATATTTATTCCCTAGACTGTTTAATCACATTTTTTCTAATAGGATAATAAGTCGTTTGATATATTTTAAACCTAGAATCTTAATGGGATCAGTTTCTGTGTGCAAGTTTTGACAAATGTTCATTGTAATAAAAAATTAGTTACTTTTTATTAAAATTTACGGATAGTAAAAAACTGTGAGTATGTGCAAGAAGCATACCAAATATATCTTCAAAGGAAAAAATACTAGAAAAATTTTTTGAAAAATACTTTTTTTTTCCAAATACTATATTATTTCTACTTGTAACATGTGATACTTTTTTCTCAAAAGTAGTTGGCGACATACTATATGTCTTTGGATAGGCACACCCGGAATTAGTAGAATAATTTCATAAAGTCTAAAATAATAGTTCTTTAGAAGAAAGTTTTACTATTTTTGTGTCGCCCTTAATAGGAGACGAAAAAACGACATCTATATCTTATCATTGCAGTACTTACTACTTTCATATTTAATACAAAGATGTAGTTTGGAGAGTACATCGGTAGATGGTAGTGTTACAAAACTAACAGTAGTTAAACAATTTTTCGTCATGGTTCCAACTATACGCTCACTATATTGAAAATTATAATATACATCTGTAACATATATTTTATAACTCTTGTTAATATTATAATGCGATTTTAACTGACACTGTATATATAGAAAGTATAGCTTAATATGCATGACAGCTGTCAATAAAATATTTTTAGAAGTCGTCAAACATGAGCAAGGTAATGTTGTACTTTATCGACAAGAAAAATAGAGATGTTCCGCGCATCTTACAAATAAAATTAATCGTTTCTTTTCAATTTCAAAATATATCTTTTGAATTCTTCTTTATATATATCCTAAACATGGAAGATAGGAAATAATTAAATTATGATTAAAAATTTGTTGAGGCATACTATGTTAATTATATTAGGCCGTCAGCGCAAAAGTGGCCTAAGCTTGGGTAAGTAGTATGAAAATAATGGGGTTTATAATATTCATGAATTTTAAAAATCATATTACATTTTATTTATACCTGATTCTAGTTATGATGCATATTTTATTCAATCACTGTGATACATTTCTTGGAATGAAGTAGTTTATTTTAGAATTAATTCACATTTTCGGATAAATTTTGTGGTTTAGGCCACTTTTGCATTTAATCTATTCTACTATATTTACTATTATAGGCAAGGTTGGGCCATTAACTAAACAAATATTATAACTGAAAATTAACTTAATTTATTTAAAAGGTTCACAAAATTGGAAATTAATGTTTTAACTAAGTAAATAGAACTAGTCATCAATTTGGTCATCATTGAAAATTATATCATGTTTCTAGGGTCTTTAACTCTTTGTAAAAACGGTGATATCTAGGTGGTATAAAATTTAAGAACTCCATTAAATCTTTTTTTCTTATTACTAATGACATGGCCCTCAGAATATAAAATATTTAGGTTTTACTGTGGTAGGGCCACGCAACAGCTTCGGCTGTTACACGAATGGGCAGGTCCGTCCAGATTAGTACCACGACCTCACAGAATACCGGCGTAAAGTAGAAGTGTTCCACTTCTGCGTTTCGTCTGGTGAGTGAGGTGAGGCCGGGGTCCACTTTATTTAAAGGTGGTAACGCATTTGCAACCCTACGGGTTTGGCTAATTTCCATGGGTGGCGGCTATCAATTAACATCAGGTGAACCGCCAGCTCGTTTACCACTTTTTTTACATAAAAAAAAATTAAGTTTTCAATGATGATTGAATTGCGTTTCTTTAAATCAACCTCCGGAAAGAGTAGGTACTTCATTGTTATTAGAGCACTTGAAATAAAAACTAAATGGATGCATTTCATGGAACAATAACTTAACATTAAATAATTTCTTTATATTCCGGGCCCAACTCTCACTGTTTCTCAATCTTTTCCTTGCTTTCCTTGCAATCATGTCTCCTTGTATTTTTGAACTACCATTCATCCAATATTGATGACGAGTACTGTTCTGACGGACAATATTCCGATCCAGTGTATAACGTTTAACACTATAACACACACGATAATCGCTCATTTGCTTACATCATCTACTTCCATCTATCCAAAATCTGCAATGTGAACAGTTTTTAATACTAAAATCCACGTAAAATAACAATCATAAAAGATAAGGATTGCAGAAACTTATCAACAATTCTTTTTATTGACATCCTATCCCAGTATTTATGTCTTACCTATGGCCTATCCCGCCAAAATATATGTCAGGTACCAGCATGCAAAAATGGCCTAGGCGGCTTAAGCTTCTTTTGCATTATCGACAGAGTAAAAATTTAAAAGGCAAAAATTAATTTTACCACGTCATATATTGACAATTTTTGAAATAAGAGATAGGCTGCTTTTGTATTGAAGTTTAGCACTTTTTAAATATTTTGTAGCAAATATTTTATAGCGCGCGTATATATATACATTCTTGGTATATATATTTTACAAAATAATGTCGATGTTTCACATCTGCCAGGCGCCCCGTGACGGCTCATTTTTTTTAATTATGGATTTTTTTAACGTTTTATATTTTTTATGACTATTGGCAAGTACCGTTAGACGTGTGATCATTTATTGTCGCGATTGTAACTACATGCTGTATAAGTATGGCACTGATGAATGTGTAATAAGTACAGTTATCACCATATTTATTACCTACCTTGGTGGCCATAGCTTGACACTTCAATAACTCGATTTAAAACTATATATAGAGAATAAGAGTGAATGAAGAACCAGCTGCTAAACAACCGAGATGGTCAATCGCTCTAGACCATTGCTGCTTCACAACAACACTGCACAACAAACAACCACTTGGTTAGATGAACTACAATTGAAATGGCTGCGACATCCACCGTACTCCCGGAACTTGCTCCAACAGATTCGTTCCGGAATTTGGGAAACTTCTTATAAGGAAAATAATTCAACTCCGATGCGGCAGTCCAAACCGCCTTTAAAGAGTTTATTGATTCTCGCCCCCATGTTTTTTTTAGTAAAGGGATCAATGAACTACCTGTGAGGGGGCAAAAGCGCATAGATGGGTGGCAATGGTGCATACATTGAATAATTAAATATATTTTACAAAAAATAATGATTATTATATTCCTCCCGTACAAAACACCAATTTCATATGTAAGGACCTAATAATTATTCCGCGTTTAATGAAACGCTATATTGAAATCCTATATTGATAGGTATAACCCAATGTGACAGATGATACAGAACATATGAATTGGAATGAGATAGCAGTCTATAATGCGATCTACTTACACTAATTGGTGTAGTGTCTCAGTTTCGATGCGCTAATGTCATATCTAAGTATTACTTGTATATATCATTGCCTATCGCTAGTAAACAAATCTATCTGTAGATAGAATAAACCGGCCGTTTTTCGAGAGCCGTGATAGCTCAGTGTCCGGGCGCTCGCCTTTAATTCAATATACTCGAGCAAACTGAGTTCGATCCCCGGTGCCAGCACCAATGAACTTTTTTAACTTTAAGTGCTGCCTTATCACGTGCTCCGCGGTGAAGGAAAACATCGGGAGGAAACCTGTATATCTTCATTGTACTTGTTATTATTTAATAACAAAAAAATATATAAATTTCGAAGATATGTGAAGTCCGCCAATCCACAGTGGGGCCGCGTGGTGGACTATGCCCTGATACCCTCTGTATAGAGGAGGCCTTTGCCCAGCAGTGGGACATGTATAGGCTGTTACTTTACTACTTTTACTTTTTTTTCGATTTACTTGAAGAAATATGCAGTAATGCTTCAGTTTTATTTGACATTATTAGTTTAAGTATTTATCAAGTTAAAACTTGATAAATACTTATCGCTAAAGCGAGCGAAGAATCAGCCACTATCGAACACTATCGAATCCAAAATTTTTCGATAATTGCACTCTTATAGGAAAGATCCTATGGATCCATAAAATATGCTAATTTTTAATAATAAATAACAAAACCTTGTATAAATTAATTTGTACAAATGTATAGATAATTGTATCCGAATTTAATTCACCAAATATAATAAGCTATCGAGCTAACAGAGGGCGGGGGTGGATTCAGGGAGCGGATTACGGTGGTCTGAAATAATACACGAATATTTGTCAATTTATTTTATTTTTATTTTCCATTCAATATTACAGTTAGATTATACACTAAGTTACACCTTTAAAAGACACCAATTACTTGTTTACTTATAACCTGGACATATACACCTATACACGTTTACATAACCATAATCCCGCGTGTAAAACAATCCAAACGCCCGTGGCGGGCCCAGCCGAGTACGTATTCGGGCGCGCATCAGAATCCAATCACCTATCAACACATAAACGTGATTCCTAACATTAAAGAATAGTGATAATCATATGCAATTAGTTTCTAAACACAGAGACGGTTAAATGTATGAGCACTTACGCTACGACGCCGTCGATACGGCACGAGGGAGGGGCGAGCGGGGACACCTCAATACCCGGTCATCGGGGGGGACTGTTAGAGCGGGGCACGCGCGCCCTCATCGATATATATATACTTACCCGTCGAAATCTATCGATATCGATAAAGGCGCTCGCGCCGGGCCCGCACTTAAATCGCTGCTTAGACACTAATATGAAGCACGTCGAAAACTACCTCCGGTTCGCTAATCTAGACCGCCAAGAAGAACCGGCAAGAAACTCTGCGGCCATAACGTACACATTAGTTTTTATATACTTAAATAACACATAACTTACAATTGAATCGAATCGTTTAAAATGTATAATAGCGCATCTGTAATGCGTATGGTATAATAGACACTTAGACCTTCCTCAAAAATGCTATTCTAACGACATACAATAAATCTTATCGCTACACAAGTGAACATTGTTCAAAGGGATTAAGCGAAAAAATTAGCCGGTAACGCGATATACAGATAAACGTTCAAACAAAAAAAAATAACATCTTATAAAACAGGGAATCTAGGATATAATACAACGAAACATTGTTAATGAAAGGAGGTAATATAAAACGCCTCAGCATCCCGCGTTCTTAAAATGAGTGTCTCGATCTAAATGGCTTCGGCTTTTGTTGTTAATTGAACGTCAGGTTTTCATCCGACCTGAACGTGTCCTAGTAAGCTGTGGCTTACGAGTATACCATTGCAGCAACCTGGATATAAATACAGGGGGAACTTAGTGATAAATGCTCGTGAGAAGGGACAGCTAGTAGAATTGTAAGTCGGTAAGTGTGAGTGTATAGGAAACGCATACGCTAATCGGCAAAAAAACACTGAAGAGGTCCCGTTTGGGACGAAAACATGACGATTAAAGGTCGCCTTGTTAGAGCTGGCCCGAACAAACGCATAACGCAGACAGCCGATGTACGGTAGCTGCTACGAGGGCAAGATGGCCGGGGTGCCCCCAGATGCCTCACAGCGTGATGCATGCTGGCGCCAACCTTAACTCGGGGACTAAACTACACTACGAATATTATAAAAACATCGAAATTCCCATAAATGATCCTAATTCGCTACAACCGCGATGTGTTTGATGACATCGGCAATTAATTATACCCTATAACGCTAAAATACAATCATGAATGATTAACTACGCACAGTAAATGTATTATGTAAACTCAATTCAATTCTAACGTACGAACGAACACCGTATTCGGCAACACCGCTCGCCCCTCGCAATGGAACCAACCGAAAACTCTGACAGACCCTTTACCGCTTACGCGAACGTCAACCGCCACGCCCCCTAGAGACTAGATGATTAAATAAATCAAAGCTAAAGTCTTAGCGCCGCGATCAAATTCCTTTAAAAGTATAAGTGTAGAGTACGACCTACTGCTGTTGGTGCGGGTTAAGTGTTAAGTAAAACGATGTGCCGCTCGAAATGTTCGCCGACAGGCCAAGTGTACAAAACTGCGATCCCTACGTTCCAGAGGGCGCCATGAGCCCCCGCCAGTTCCAAGCCAAAGCGTCCCAGGAAGAAGTCGGTTCAGAACCGACCCGCCCCGCCTTACCATATTTAAAGTTAACTTTAACGCGAACACCGCAAATCTACAACCATAAATCGTACGTACGCTAAAATGCACAGCCACCTAGTATATGTACACCTTAATAGCCCACGGCAATACCTGTCCCACCGTTCGTTTTAAACCCATAAGAAAATATAAATTTTCGTAAGACTATCTAATGTAGGATTTACAGACACTAGTAGTCCTCCCTTCCTTTTTTATTACAAACCTTACCTTACAAAAATTCTGACGAAATTTAAAAGAAAACTGCACCCTAGTTGAGGGTCTCGTGAAATTTTATGTTAAAGTTTTAAAATTGATCCTAAACAACGAGGGATTAAGGTCGAATTTACAAGCCCAATCGATTTCCCCCCGGATTCCAATCCTCTTCAGTCTCTCAAACCGCCACCCCGCGTAAAAACACCACACAATACCCGGCTTCCGTGAGGTCTTAGCAGTTGAAAGTGAAAATAATCGATAGTTAGCATAACGGTTGGAATGTCCATACACGGTCCAATCAAACTCAACCGATTTGGTAAAGGGTCGTGTCAGATACGAACATCAATCACATCAAGTCGAATTATGCACAGCAGACAAGTTCTTCTTAACCTGAGTGGTGCTGCTAAATAAGTATCTTTGGTTAGTAACACAGCGCGACCCGGAACGATTAAAGTTTTGCAACTAGTGGTTAATTACAATAAGTATGTTAACGAAATTATCGTTAACTATAATACCAGAAGCCTTGTCTACGGTCAAGTCTAGTCAAATAGGTACGTAAGAGGAGCTTCACGACCAGTGAGCACCTGTCAAAGTTAATATATTACCTGGAATTACAACTTCTTGAAATGGAACCTAAATATATAATTACACACTCAATGACGCTATTGTAATGAGACAAAAGTGTTCCAACCGGAGAATAGAATAAAGTTGCCCCCCCCCCCCCCCCCCCCTGCACCTTTATTCTACTTTTATCTAAAAGAAAAGTACAAAATTAAAATGCAAGTACACACCATAAAATTAGAAATTAATGTTAAAATTGTCAAAAAAAAAGATAAATCATTTAGTCCGATGGTTGAAATCAAAAAAATTAAGCTTTTTTTTATTTCAAAAACCTTTGTCGACCGATATGAAAGAATTGAAAAACAATTAAAATTGATTAAAATGTAAACTGATTAAAATTTGAATCTATCGAAACGTAAAACGATCAGTACTATAATCACTGCGCTGAGTAAAATAGTAACGAAAATTATACAAAAAAAAAAATAGAAACAAATCAAACTATTGAAATGCCAAAAGTAAAGAGTTATACACAATGGGCCAAAGAAACAAAACACAAAAACAAGTTGCCCCCTACCCCCCCAAACCTTAATTTTATAAACTCTAAAAGAGAAGTATAAAATAAATTGCAAGTACACGCTACAAAATTAAAAATTAACATTATAATTATTTAAAAAAGATAAAAACATTTAGTCTGATGGTTGAAATAATTAAAAGCTTTTTTGATTACAAAACACGTGATTGCTAGAAATGAAAAAAATTTAAAACATAAAACGTAACTGATTAAAATTTGAAAGTTGATAATGTTCGCGTACAAAAATCAGTGACCTGCTTAAAAAGTTCCATATTCAAAACCCAAAAAAATAGTAACGAAAATTGTACAAAAAAAGAGAAAAAAATAAAATCATACTATTGTGATGCGCAGCGTTAAAATTATACACAACGGGCCACTGAAACAAAACACATATATCAAGAAGGCTTGAATGAAACGAAGGAGCAATTAACGTTATAATTATTAAAAAAAGATAAAAACATTTAGTCCGATGGTTGAAACAAAGAAATTAAAAGCTTTTTTTTTTTAATTCTCAAAACGTGGTCGACAGAAATAAAAAAAATGAAAGTTGACAATGTTCGCAGGAGGTTAAACGATCAGTACAAAAATCACTTGGCCGAATAAAAAGTTCCATATTCAAAACAAAAAAAAAATAGACGAAAATTATGAAAAAAAAAGGACAAAATAAAATCTAAACTAAATGTAATGCAGCAGCGTTATAGTTATATACAAACGAAACTGAGACACAAAACACATATGCCAGTCAAGAAGTTTGTAATTCCGTTAGGGTGTCCAATTTGAGTGACGAATATCTAGGTATAGTCCTGACAGAAACAGTCGAGTATGCTTTGATGTTTAGTTGGTGGTGGTGTCGGGGCCGACCTCAGCATTCGCTTGCACCGTCGTGGGCGAAGTCTGCGTCGCTGAAAGAGAAACGTACAAAGTCATCGAAAGAGGAAATCAAGTGCAGTTGGTGAGTTGGGAATGAGTGAATAAAATTTGTTCGCAGATTGTTGGTTACTCGCACGTTGGACTCCGCTCGAGGGGATGAATCTCGCAAACACACACACATCCACACATACTCACACATACATTTCACCTTTTACGTTCTCTCGAGGAAATAAAGTTCATATGTATATAGAAAAAGTGCTATATAATTGTTTTGGCTTCGATTTTTCGCATTGTTGCATGTTTTAAATGGTCGACAGTGGTACGTCGGTGAGCGATGTTTTTCATCATCATTGCTGGCCATGCAAGAGACCTCGTGATCTTTCTATCTTTGTCACGCACCAATTTTAACAGGATCGGAAGCAGAAATAGATCTCAGAGGGGGGGAGGGGGAGGGGGAGCTGATTTTGAGGTGGTCGCACGAAGATAGACACGATACTATTAACTTGGAACGACGCTCTTCTCGTACAATCTCAACGGACTGAGCCCACTGTACGGCTAGTATTTTGATGACTCTGTCGAGCAGATGCCAATGTATTGGCTTCGGGGTCGTGGGTCGTTAGGTTCGATTCCCACACGGGACAACTATTTGTGCGACCCACGGGTTAGTTGTTTCGCATCTGGGTGCTTGTCCTCGTGCAATTTATTTTTGTAAAACATCCGTACAACACAGGATAATGTTATCCTAAAGTGAGGGCAATGTTTTTTAAATGAAGAAAAAGAAAGATATTCTCGTTGTAGGCTATAACCGCGGCAAGAGTATCAAACGAGGTCTGGTGCCAGGCCAGGGGATGTGGCATCCAGGTCGCGCGGATAACGTAACCCAATAATATAGACGACCATACTGCGCGGCGTTTAAAAATTGTTACGCCTCACATTATGTGATACACATAAGTGAATGTGACAGATGATATAGAACGTGTGATACGGAAAGAGATAGCAGTCCGTCCATCGATAGAATTACACCGATTTGGGCGCGTCAGTTTCGCTGCGCCAGTGTGATGTAAATAAATAAATAAATATTTAGGACAATTTCACACAACGTTCTCTAGTCCCAAACTAAGCAAAGCCTGTACTATGGTTACTAGATAACTGATAAACATACTTAAACGTACTTTTTTGTAAATAAATACATATTATAGATATGTAAACAGCCAGACACTAGAAAAACACTATGTTCATCACACAATATTTTTCCAGTGGTGGGGATCGAACCCACACCCTCTGGCGCAAAGGCAGGTACACTACCCATTCGGGTCGTCAAATGTCTATACATATTTCGCATATTAGCATTCAACGGTGGTAGGGCCACGTAGCAGCCTCGGCTGTTGCTCGAATGGGCAGGCCCGTCCGGGTAGGTACCACGACCTCACAGAAGACCAGCGTAAAGTGGAAGTATGACAAATACTTTCGCGTTTCGCCTGGTGAGTGAGGTGGCCGGAGCCCAATTTTCAAAATGTTGTCAACGCATCTGCAAACCCTCGTTTGTAGCAGATGTCTATAGGCGGCGGGTATTCACTTAACATCGGGTGACCCGTCTGCTCGTTTGGCAACTTTCCGCATAAAAAAAAAAAAAAAAAAATATATCGGGCGTACGTGTACGTGCACGTACCACGGTTCGAGAAACTGCGCTGTTGCCGTGTAGCGTTCTGGCTCGAAGTCCTCTGAGGCGGCTGCACGGCCTCGGGCGAGCGCTCGAACGTGCTCCCTGAAGGCGACGCGAACGGCGGCCTCCTCAACGCCGCCGCCAAGATCCGCCGCCTCGCCAAAGCTCTCTGTCGTAAGCGGACGTTCCCAGAGGGAGAGGTTGATAGGTGCGTTTAGAGCCCGCGGCGTGCAACTAGGAAACGCGGACTGTGGCCCCCGGATCGATCGCCGCGCGGTTGGCGAGTATGGCGTGGCGATGCGGTGGGTTATTGCAGTGCGAAATGTTTCATTTTAAGATAATTATCAAAGTAATAAAGCCAAACTTTTTAAAATATCTCCAATTGGTCAAGCAACAAACGAGCGGGTTCGTTCGAGTGGATCGCGAGAAACTCACCATTAATGAATCCAGAGAGATCTGTTGGCGGCCTCGCCTGTCTAATGCAGCGACGTTTCCGTGAGGGCATACCCGAAAGGTACGCGTCACTATATGGGGGCTGGTCGTCGGCTCGCTGCGCCCCCTGATCGCTTGAGAACACTGGGACCCACTCGTCGCCCCAGTGCTGAACAATCAGCATTGGGGGCACCTGCTAACAGACGCACCCAGCTACAACCAGGCTGCACTCTAGTGACACCACCTTAAACGCTTCGCACAGCGGGGGCTTTAGGAACCTATCCAGAGGGCCAGTGGCGCAATCTTTCTTACTATAGTTACTTGGCGATTGTCGATCGCCGGCCCTTGACATTCGCAATAGTGCGCTGCGTTTGTTAATGGGCCAAAAATATGATGACTAGTCTTGGCTTCGATTCCCGCGCGAGACGAATGTTTGGGTGAGCCACGGATAGTTGTTTCGTATCTGGGTGTTTGTTCGCGTGACGATAAAAAACATTCTTGCAGCATAGCATAATTTTATCACACAGTAAGGGGGCAATGATCTCGAAGGGATGACTACAATAGATCTTCCAGGTGGTAGTGGTCATTGGGACTTACTAGCCAACCCCTTCCACATAAAATACAATGGGACAATGAACGTTAATTCAAGGTCAACTTTTACCACCAGCGACATTAATGATGTAATGATAATGTAATGACACCTACGCTGTAGACACTGCTCGCAATGGACGATGGGATCCATTCTCCCAAGGCTGGTTGGGATTATCCGGCGTCTGGGGATTTGGATTAGGGAAACGCAAGCCTCGGCGGAACGCATCCCAAAGTAAATCAAGCGTTTCTGCCAACCAAAAATCAATCCTAGCCAGCTGCGAATAAGCGTTCAAACTTTACGAACACGCACGACTGACGCCTTCGAGCCGCTTCGGCAACCGCAAGGCGTTGTGAAAATGAGCCGAGCTAAAAAAAAAATGCGTCACTTACCTCCGACACGGCGCGGTACCTAGAAAGAAATGACTCGGCGAATGGTGAACAAACGACCGGGCCGAAATGACAGCGGAGGTGATCAGAGACCGCTCAAATGCAAGCCCGTCAAATACTGATTGTACCTTGACAATGTAAAGTCGAGCCGAATCCGACTGTATATTGTAACGGGCACCGAGGAAGGTTTACGTTTGAAGCTATTAGAATGATATACGCGTTTTTATATTGTGGTCGCAGAGCCGCCCTAAAACTGAGGAAGACGTCTTAAAAGGCATGTTCGCGTGAAAGCTACGCTACCGCTACAGCTAGGAGAAAGAAAAATCTATTATACTAGTGTATAATACAAAATTAAAACGTTCGCAAAATTTTGACGCGATCTATGTTATGATTAAACGCGTTCAAGTAGTCATCAGGCGACATACACTTTTAGGCACCGGCCGCAGACCACGCGATGTGTGTGTGTGTGTGTTTTTAAAGATAAAATAGTGAAAGAAAAAAAATGGTAAAATCAACAATAATGTAAATAATGAATAATAATTGTGAAATGAAAAGATAAGCCGTATCAGTCTGCTCACAGCGTTCGAGTAAAATCGTTGCAACCAATCCATTCTATTTAATCACAATGCGTCTTACCAGTCGAATATTTGTTGTTGTTTCGGGAGTACTACGTGACGGAGATTCCGTTTTTGTCGGTCTTGCAGTCCTGGGATGAAAAAAAAATAAGAAACATATAAAAATAGCGCCCACCCGTTATTTAATAGTTCTATCAAACGCGCCGCGGACGCGCTCGATGCTATTTTTAATTTTAAGGATTATATCAAATAAAATAATAACTAAAAAAAAAAAAGATAGATAATAAAAATAACAAAACCAAATAAAAGAACAAAAATATAATATGAAGTGTATTATTTTTTTTTTTGTTTGATGACGATTTAGCGTACGCGTTCTCCTCGATTAACTCGCAGTCAAGCTATCGACTCTACAATTTTACATGTTAGTGAGACTGTAATGTCTGCGCCACTAAAATGAAAAATTCACTAAAACAAACCAACGGCCGTTCGTCCACGCTCGCACGCGGCCGTAGCGCCTAAAGTACCTAAAAGTGACGATTGAAGAACTCGCCCGACGTCCGCTTTACTCGGCCGCTCAACATCGTCAACCTGGTTTCGGAATTCTTACCTCGACGAGCCCCTGCTCGCGCCCTGCGGTCGCGCCTGTCCCTGTCCCTGGCCCTGTCCCTGTCCTTGCCCCTGTCCCTGGCCCTGGCCTTGATTGTGGCCATGGGCGAAGCTCTGGCCAAGGCCTTGACCTAGGGCCTGACTAAAACCCTGCCCCTGCCCCTGGCCCTGGGCCGGGTTTTGACCGTAGCCCTGGCCCTGGCCCTGGCCCTGGCCGAAGCCTTGGTCCGCCTGCTGCTGTTGCTGCTGCCCTTGGAACTGCGCGCGCTGCGAGACCCCGCCGTCGATGCCCTGGACGATGCTCGGGCCGTGCAATCCTTGAATGATATGGATCCCCTGCGGCCCGTGGCCCCCCTGCACGCCGTGCCCTTGCAGGACGTGAACGCCTGGAACGCCGGACACGCCGAATATTTGCACGTTGTGAGCGCCCGACGTGCCGTGCATGCCTTGGCCGCCTTGCAGGACTTGGACGCCAGATGGGACGTACACTTGGTTGACACGGATCCCGTGGCCACCGTTTGTCACTTGGCTGCCGTACGCTCCTTGGGGGCCGGAGAATCTCTGGGCGCCCTGCCCTCCCTGGACGCCGTGGGCCGATTGGGCTAATTGAATGCTGTAGCCACCCTGAGGGCTGGTGCCACCCTGCGAGCTGTTGCCGCCCTGAGCGCTGCGGCCTCCGTAAACGCTGTGACCGCCCTGAGCGCCGTGGCCCCCGAAGGCGCCGTGTCCTCTCTGAGCGCCGTGGCCTCCATACACGGTCGGGCCCCTCTGAGCGCCGTGGCCTCCCTGGGCACTGTCGCCCCCCTGGGCGCTGGGGCCGTCCTGCAGGAGGGGCACGCCGCGCACGCCGTGCACCCCGCCCACCCTGTACACTCTGCCGGTCGCCTGGTGCGACGCGCCCGGCAGGGGTACCGTGCAAATGACGATGGGCTCCGTCATAGTTTCCGCGTTGATGGCATTCGGCATGCGCGCCACTGGCCTCGCGAGCGGCGGCACCGGCATCGGCGTCGACGGCGGCGTGATGCTCATCGGCTCGGGCGCCTGCGACCTTTGCGCTATCAGCGCCCGGCGACGCCTCTGCAAGCGGGACACGACGCATTTATACACACGCTTTCAGTTATGGTTCATACTTATATACACGTCTAGATGTTTATCTTATTTTATTTTATTTCATTCGGTACACAAAACAGCAAACAGTAATTAATATACACATCACAATAAAGTTAAATAAAGTAAACAATTACATACTGTCAGCCAAAACTATGCGTACACAACATGCAATGATATCATGGCAATAATGTTTTCAACTCAATTTACACTAGATAAAAAAAAAATGTAAACAAAAACTGCTAAAAACAAAATTAAAAAAAAACAAAACATTATGGGCATGTGATAATTTGTTTGAATGTACTTAGTTTTTGTCCCTCTATAACATATTACTACAACTTAGACTTCTTTTATGACATGGCTTTGTTATCTGAATGTAATACTCCCACTCTTCACGCCAATCTTCTATGAGGTTGTGGTACTTCCCCATACAGACCTGCCCATTCATGCAACAGCGAGCTGTAGGGTGACCCCACCACAATTATAAGAAACGGTTCGTAGTTTTTTTGTTTTTTCATTACTTTGGATGGAATATGTTTTTTCATTATATTGAAATGTATATGCTTGTATTTATATGCTCGTCATATCATTAACATTGAAATGTATAGTAATAATAATATTTATATTTATAAACCCAACCACACGAGAAACAGATAAATATCCCCAAAATAATAAAAAGATTCATTCCAGAATTTGAAGCAATTAATGAAAAACAAAGGACTTTCTGCCTCGACAAAAAAACCCTCCTAAATAGTTCAATCTAAATCCAATTCCAAACACTGTAAAACTGAGCATTAGTTGGTATCATTATATTTGGTATTATTCAACACGACGAATATGTTACACAATAACTTTTGTCCATGATCACATAAAGGGAGGAAAGTCAATATCTTACAACCACAGCTTCCGAGTGTTGCACAATATACGGCCTTATGTTGTCCATGTTGTCGTCCAGGGAGCGGAAAGTGCTATTGAACAGGTCGATGAAGAACCGCCTCAAGAAGCCAGTTACGACCTCGTCCTCTGACTCTGTGATTTCCTCCTGCATAGGAATAAGACAAAGATTAATTTGATCCGTTCTCTTTCTCTACCTCTTGTCTCTGAATTTAGAAAAATCAACAAACAAAAATTACAGTATTAAATATTTGTAGTAGTAGGAGCAATCAGAGCTGTTTCCATAATAGTTCACTTCTATATCATAGCTGTGTCATACCATAAGAATTCCAGACAGTTTAGGAATAGTGCTGTGTTATATGCAATTACTGTGAGGACATATAGATTTAGTACAGCTTTTTTTATGGATGGACGAACAAATGTTTTATTCGCGTTCACTGGGACGGACAGATTTTCATTAATACCATCAAATTTTCAAAGAAAAAAATATTGTCTAAACTTTTATTCTTTTTTCAACATTTACCACCGCAGTAACAAAACAGTCCACATCCCCAAAAAACAATTATCTATAAATCAGTAAGAAGTTCTTATACCAAACAGAATACTAGGCATTTACACCCCAATCAGTGGAAATTCATGAGAGTAGGCTAGAGGTATATTTATTTGTACAAAGAACACCGGCTCGGGGCCGACCAGAAGGGTAAGCCATATAGACAGACGGACAATATTCATATTGGCTCACCGTGTAGTTGCGGAAAATCATCCATACGCCGTCTTCGGGATAGACGCAGAAGCGCATGACCAGCGTCAATAGGTCGACGAACAGCCGCGCGAAGAGCGCGTAGAAGCGCGGCGGGAAGAACGGCCCGCTGTTGTCCGACATCACGGTAGCTATGACGGCCGGCATGCGGTTCCTCAGCAGGGACCTTATGGACATCAGCACGTTCATCTCCACGCGTATCTCGGCCATGTTCGGCTGCAAAGGAAAACACTCATCAGCTGGGAATCGAACGGTAGATGGAGGAGTAACGGATTCTGATAGGATTAATTTTGGCTACGTTTCCGCAATAGGTCATGCTCCTGCCCCAATCCCACCTGGGTGGGGTCGGCACAACATGCGAATCGTGTTTTAAACGATTTTCAACGATTTTTACCGTCAGCTGCCTGCCTAAAGTCAACCCTCCTTCGAATCACCCAGATCCGGAGCAATCGTCTGTGGACACGGAAACACTTGTCCCGTGAGCGAATCGAACCCACGACCCCCGACACCTAAGCCAATACCTAAGCGACGGCGCAACCGCTTTTAGTTACTGGTAAAATGATCGAACCAAATCGAGAAACTCCCCCACTTTCGAAGCGGTTGAATAATGATGCGGCACTTACTATCCTGGCTATGAAGTCTGTGTTGGACGCCACCAGGTAATTGCTGACGTTCTCGAAAGCATTCTCGGCAGCGGTCTCGGGATTCTCCGCGCCAGACAACACCAACAGCTGCTGCACGTACGAGCGCAGAAGGGAGCGCACCGACTGGTACTCGTTGGGCACCAGTGGGAGCTCGCTGGCTATGGGCTGCAGCAAGTCCGACGTGTAGATGTGTCGCGCCTGCAAATTAATTTAATTTAATTTTAATTTCTTTAATTTTTTCCTTAAAAACATTGCCCTTACTTTAGGATAACATTATCCTGGGTTCTAAGGACGTTTTGCAAACATAAATTTCACACGGACAAACACCCAGATGCGAAACAACTATCTGTGGGTCACACAAATAGTTATCCCGTGTGGGAATCGAACCCACGACCCCCGGTGCCGAAGCCGATACCTTGGCGACTGCGCCACTGAGTCATGCGTCAAAAAGATAGAAAAGAGATTTTATTTATATTCTATATCGTCTGTGAAGGATGGAGGTATTGCACCTCATGAGGCATTATGGGGAGACAGAAAGACAGTACGAGAAAGGTTTAATGCGGATTTCATACTCAAAGAGAAAGCATATGAGAGCAAAACATATAGGCTAAAATTAAATTAGTAATTTTAAATTTTAAAGAAATAGGGAGGGGGTGGTAAATGAGTAATTGGATTAAACACTTTTTATTCTGTTACTTACGACTGTGACGAGGAATGCATTCAAGAAAGCAGGAGTTGATGGTCTGGCCTGCAGGAGACGTTCCATAACACCCATATCCTCCTAAAGGACAAATTAAACAACCCATACGTACAATGTAAAAATTTAACATATACAAAATCTATATCTCACCATTTAAAAACACTAAATTATAATATCTCTTGCTGATCTAAACTGATCGGGACCATTTCACAATTAAGGCAAACATTTTATCTCATTGCAGGGTGTCCCATATTGTTTGCCAATTTGGGACACCCTTCAATGTGATAACATTGCAGGGTGTCCCATTTGACAATTTAGGAATGTTTGCAATGCAACATATAAACATGTTTCAATTTACATTGAAAGGGTTGTGATGATCACTACCATATATTCAGCTATTATTTCGCCACCAACGGGTTATGGGTTCATTTCCACATGGGAAAAGTATTTGTTTGGCCCTCAGATAATTCCTGGGAATATACACCAAGGTGTTTATATTCCCAAGAAGGGTTGCTGTCAATACTATTAAAGAAAACGATTCACATGTATTACTGACTCCACTTAAATGGGAAGTTGGGAGGGCAGGTAAAAGAAAAAGATTATTATAAGATTTTTATATTCAAAACGTGGGATTTGACTAAATCCATATTCCATGTCAAGCACTATATAGTACAATGTTCACTATTTACCTCTAACAATTGACATCCTCGTTGCCTGATATAGGTGATGTTCCGAGATGCATTTCTATCGGCACGAAATCTGGCCATTGAGGCAGCTTCCTGCTGATGGTCATTCCTGTAGTACACAGATATGCATTTTATGAAATTCAATCAACTCTTAAAACTGAATTTAATTAAATTAATTGAGATTTATGAAAGAAGAGATTGTTGAAATGTTTTCTAGTATACATGGACTCTGGAAAAGATGAGTGACGGTATACGGAAACGATATACGATGGAAAAATGTTTTTTTTGATGTGAGAAAGTGGCAAACGGGATGGCGGTTCACTTGATGTTAAGCGATAACTCTCTGCTCATGGACATTTGCAATGCCTGAAGGGTTGCAGATGCGTTGCCACCTCTTAACAGAGGACCCCGGCTAACTCACTCGCTAGACGAAATACAGAAGTGCAACACTTCTACTTCAAGCTGGTCTTCTGTGAGTTTGTGGCCCTACCAGAAAAGCTGTCACCTGAAGGCATAATGACTTTTGGAGCGAAGCGAATGGTAACATTGCTAGGAATGGCCACAGTGGTAGAATTTTCGGTAACGGTGGAAAAGGTGACATATTCACCTGCGACGCTGGACCCAAGAGCGCGCGTGCAGGTTGTCACACGGCAGGAAACGGTCGTAGACAGCGCCGGTGTTCGGTGGCCGTGTCGAGGTCGTGATACGACGCAGGTGCAAATTGGCTAAAAGGACGAGAGGGTCATTGAACTTTATGATTAACGAGCATTTATTAGCATCGCCACCTTAATGAATGGCTTCTTATATTGATCCAATATTTTACACCTGTACATACTGTCCTCAGTGCAGGAAGAAAATTTAACTACATTGTCCATTTGCTGCATGAGGAGGGAAGACCGGCAAAATCTTTTCTTAGAATTATATGATAGAGGCTAATATTGTGTTGCCTATGCCGCCAAGTACCGCTGCCCTATCACGGACAGTTTATACAACAACATTTAATATGTGTTCATTTCCATATCGGTGAAAAGGATAGAGAAAACGAGCGGCGAGGAGAAACCCTCACGCTGCCTCTGCTGGTTGGCGTTGTCCTGCTCATGAGACTCATTCTCCGACATCGTCTCCGAATCGTGGTTCTCCCTTCCCTGGTAATGCTCACCCGGTTGGACAGAGGGGTTGTTCGCCCTCGGCCTGTTGGCGCCGCTGACGCCCGGTACTGAGATGCCGGACAGAGCCAAGCCGGGCATCGGAGGTAGGTTGTGCGGCGTGCCACCCACGCTCTGCCGCAGCACCGTGGAGACGATGTTCTGAAGCAGCTCGGCGGTCGGCGGTCCGGCTGCCCATGGCACTTGGGCGAGGAATACTGTAAAATATCGTGGGATTGTGGGGATACGGAACGTACCATTGGGACGGAGAAATCTTGGCTTGGTTGTTTGTTACGAAACACTAACAACTTTAGAAGTACATGATATCTAACTTTTTATTGATGTTAAGAAATAATTTTAACTGATTGATGCTAAGAAATAATTTCATTTTTGTCATTACTTATAAAATCCGCCCGTACGCAGTTTCATAGAGATCGAGTTTTAAATGGGAATCCAGCGACTTCTGAACGCGAATGGAATAATGTAAGTAACAAGCCTTACTCTCTGCTCCTAGTAGGGGCTGGCCATTGCCGTCGCCTTGGTTGCCTCGGTTGCCCTGGTTGCCTTGGTTGTTAAGGGCTGCGTTGTTCGCGAGGTTGGCGATGTTGTTGAGCAGCCCCGCTTGGGACAGCTGTTCCATACTCAGAACGACCTCCACGCCGCCGGGCTGGCCCCCATTGCGGACCAGATTTTCCAGGTCTGCGTCGATAATCAAATTGAATCATTCAAACATTTATTATTACTAGTGTTCGAGCAGTGGCCAAAATTCGACCATAATTACATACATAGGTAGTGAGTATAATGCTTTTTATTGATTTAGTGCATAATTAAAACTAAAAACATTAGCATTCTGCACTGCTCTCTATATAAAATATAAGTGTGGGAAATTTCATACCCCTCCGTCCGCGTAATTTTCTTAAAAAGTTGTTGATTCGGGTAAACGAAAAATGTAATAGTAAAATAGCTTTGTAATTACAACAATTTGGCTAATTCTATATTAATGCCGTGACAGCTCAGTGTCCGGGAGCTCGCCTTTAATTCAATATACTCGAGCAACCTGAGTTCGATCCTTGGTGTCGGCACCAATGAAATTTTTAACTTTAAGAGGAAAATATCGTGAGGAAACCTGCATACTTTCGAAACAATAACAAAAAATTCGAATATATATTTCTAAGATATGTGAAGTCCGCCAATCCGCATTGGGGCCGCGTGGTGGACTATGCCCTGATACCCTCTGTATAGAGGAGGCCTTTGCTTTACTGGCCTAGGCCGTTACTTTACTTTTTATATTAATGAAACTGAACAAATTGGCTGTATCAGGCAGGAATGAAATCTACCCCCGCTCCAAACTTCGAAAAATAAGTGGTATCTTACCTACTAGAACCTGGCGTCGATTGGCCTGGTTAGGTTCGTCCGAGCCCTGCTGGCCTTGACGTTCCTGTCCTTGTTGGGCCCGCTGCCCCTGAGCGTCCTGCCCCCCATGATCCTGTTCGCCCTGCTGCGCTTGCTGTTGGACGTTCTGGGCTTGCTGCAGCACGCTCAGGTTGTTCAGGAGGGCCGCCTCGATAGCGTACGGCATCGGCACCCTCGTCTCTATCTCCAATTGGTAGGCGCTCGCGCTTGGCTGCACGCTGATGTTCACCGTCGGCCGGGTGGTAATGTTCCTGGCGGATGTCGCCTGAGAGTGGCCGTGCTCCGGCGGTGGCGTGTCCGCGCCGCTGCTGTCCGAGTTGCCGGCCGAAGCGGTGGCGGAGGCTGTAGCGGAGGCGGTAGCGGAGGCGCTAGTCGACGGGGCGGTCGAGGCCGCGGTGGAGGCGGTGGCAGATGCGGTCGCGGAGGCGCTCGCCGACGCCAATGCAGAGCCGTTGCCAATAGGCGAGGCGGGCGGTGATATGGATGACGGACCAGACGGCGCAGCGAAGGACGCATCGAATGGCCCTTCGGTTGGCGCGTCGGATGGCGCATCTGATGGCGCATCTGATGGCGCGTCGGATGGCGCGTCGGATGGCGCATCGGATGGCGCATCGGACTGCCCAGCGGGCGGTGCAGCGGGTTGCCCAGCGGATGGCCCAGTCGGTGCACCGTTGTCGGCTGTTGCGGCGTTGTTGTCCCGCCCCTCGCTTTGCTGTTGTGCCAGGCGACGGGTGGTATGCATCACGTTGATGTGCGCCTACGGATGGAGGAGGCAACTTAAACTACTGCGTCCCTTAAATGGTTGTGCAAGAAATTTACATCTCGGTTCTCAAGTGCTCACCTGCACCGGTATCGGCCGCATCAGTGTTATCTCAGACGACAGCCTGGGCACCCGTTGCGACACGTGGAACGTTATGTCGCTGACGGCGTGGTACGCGTGGGCAAAGCTGTGCATTATGTCGCCGACCAGGTCGACCGTGCGCTGGGTGGCGACCCTCTCGCCCTCCGTCAACCTCGGCGGCTGGGGGGCGAACGGAATGTACGGGGGTGGGGGAGGGAGAGGGGGAGGGGGGAAACAATTAATTATTCGACCAATCTACGGCCCGCGCGGTCTCACGGGAACCACCCGTCACCTGTCGCAGTGCACGAGGCAGATGCGGCGTTGCACGAATCGGCAAGTAGTGTATTGTGTGGAAGCATGATACGTTATGATTTTGCGTCTCGTCTGCAGAGTGAGGTGGCCGGGGCCTACTTGTTTTAAAACTTGTCAACTCATCACCACGCCATTGTAGATGTCCTCGGGCGGCGTTATCATTTAACATTTGGCGGACCGTCTGTTCGCTAGATCACTTATTACATATAACATAAACTGTTGCACCATCCGAATCGACTGTGCTAGTTGCGAGTATGGATTCGTTCGTCCTGAACACGGCGCTGAGGACAATTAATGTGTGGACGCCGCGGGACTGCGTCAGAGGGTAAACGTAACAAGAAACCTCTTGTCGTCTTCACGTCTTCGCAGGAGTTGGACTACGGCTACTTGTCACGCGTGAAAACTTCCCGGTGGACCATTCCACGGTGGGGCCGGCCCGTTGCGGCGCGTGGCCACGGCACGTGGGCTAGGCGGAGGCACTTACGTTGGTGCGGTACTCTGTGCGCAGCATGTCGATGTACGACACCCGGTGCGGGGCGAAGCGGCTGTGCAGCACCTCCAACTCCTCGATGAGGTTTCCAAGGTCACGGGGCGTGGAGCGGCGCGCGCGGATGGCCCTCAGAGCCCTGTTAACGTTTTTGAGGTTGTCAGTGCGTGCACGGCCCGGCCCCATGGCCTTCGTTTAGACGGGGACTGAGAGATGAAGTTGTTGCGCTCGTCAAGACCTACGCACATTCATATATCATGAGCCTACGGATACTGAAAGGCCTTGGTGTAGGGACTTGTTAGCATTGTGTTCGGTTGCGTAACTACGAACGTTATAGAACATCCATAGGTCGCTGTGTCATCGCTTCAAATCCGGCTCGAAGGACCATGAAGGAGGTTGTACAGGGAGAGTTTATAAATATTCTGGTAAATGGTTTATTAACACTCATATATGGTACAGAATGGTATAAATAATACGCGGTATAAATAAATGGTATGGTTATGGTTGGACGGTGGTGAGGCGCGTACTGCCTTAAAATAGGCATACAACATACATATGTACCCGAGTAAAATGTGCCTATGATGCACAAAATGAAAACGTCGGGCTGTTCGGTTGCGTAACTCCGAACACATTGTCAAGGCTTACGAGTAAACCCATGCATTCCCCGTGGTTATTTCTTCTCTACGCAATTATTTTCATTCGCTCACTTCTATTTCACTCACTGAAGTGAACTCGAACGTACCGTTGATCCATAATCATAATCATGATGATGATGATGATCATCACCATAATCACGCCACTTCGTAATAACGTAGCACATAAAAATTGACAAAAACGATTTTAACCGAGTTCAAAAAAGAAGGAGGTATCTCAATTTGACCGTATATATTTTTTATGTGTTTGCGGATAACTTTTTCGTTTATGGACCGAATTTGATGATTCTTTTTTTGTTGGAAAGGAGATATCCCAAGGGTGGTACCATGATAAGGACACCCAGATCTGATGATTGCATCTTAGAGAAATCGAGGGCAATCCTCAAAAGTTATAGGTATTAACAATGTTTTTTAGTTTCCGGTTTGAAGTCGGTTTTTTTTTGTTATACTTAAAAATACTTAATATCGTATATAAATCAAATACCACAGGTGCACAACCACTCAGTTAATAAAGAAGGCTCACGAAGGCTTATTCCTAGAAACGCCTTTACAAGTGTTGGTGTTACGAAATGGCAACGTTCAAGTCATACGAATCTAACTCATCAAAAGCAATGCCTAAAAAATTTAACAAGTGCGAGTCGGACTCTCGCACGAAGGGTTCCGTACCATTATCGATGAAAATGTCAATAATCATGTCTGTTGTATTGGAGCCCCACTAAAATATTTTTATTCTGATTTTTGGTATTTGTTGTTACAGCAGCAACAGAAATACATCATCAATGAAAATTTCAACTGTCAAACTATAACGGTTCATGAGATACAGCCTGGAGACAGACAGACGGACGGACAAACAGACATACAGCGAAGTCTTAGTAATAGGGTCCCATTTTACCGTTTGGGTACGGAACCCTAAAAATTTAACGGGTCCCCGCTTATATCTTCTGGTAACATCCAGAAATATGTCACGAAACCGCTCACCTGCGCCGCACGTTGGCAACCATCGCATCCGCATCGCTGACGTCGTCGCCGAACTCGTCTAGAGTCGGCAGCTCATCCTGCGAAACAGACATCAAAATTTCTCGGTTAAATGATCTGATTAACTCCTTAAAAAGGGCGGAAAAAGGTTCTTGAGTGGCAGGCTTGTACTGGCCGAAGCCGTGTAGAACAAACCCCCACTAGATGACATCGATGACTCATTTGATTCATTCGCATCGATGACGCAGTTGCCAAGGTATTTGGCTTAGCGTTGGGGGTCGTGGGTTCGATCCCCGCACGGGACAATTATTTTTGCAAACGATGGATAGTTGGTTCGCATCTGGGTGTTTGTCCGCGTAAAATTTATGTATGTCAAATGTCCTTACAACACAGGATAATGTTATACTAAAATAGGGCAAAGTTTATAAAAAAAGGCCCCTGTACAAATTTGCGGAAAGTCGGTGGATGCAGGAGGCTCAGGATCGTACTTCGTGGTAGTCTATGGGGAAGGCTTATGTTCATGTGTGTTTTCAAACACGTTGAAATGACGATGATGAATACCATAGAAGTATCCAGAAGCTCTACGGTGATACATAAAGTATGCGCATGTTGAAAATTAGACCTTCATTAAAGATACATCACAAATCGTATGTTGCACCATAAAATTTAAGTAAATCAAACTTTTTTTTATGTTTTATTATTTTGACATTGACATTTGCAACACCCTTAGGGTTGCAGATGAGTTGCCACCTTTTAATAAAGTTGGCCACGGCCAACACTTCCACTTCACGCCGGTCTTCTGTGAGGTCGTGGTACTAACCCGGACGGACCTGCCCATTCGTGCAACAGCAAGGTTTCGTGGCCCTACCACAGTTTAGTTTAAATCAGATTTAAACAAAAAGAAATTCATGTGGCCTTCACGGTAAGAGTATACAGAGCAGAGTGCGATGTCCCATCAGTTTCTAAGCGTGCGTGACATAGACGAAAGCGCAATCCGCTTACACAATCAAACGAACATATAAATATTGTTTGAACATAATGATAAGTATCCGTCAGTAGATTGAGTGAGTTAAGTCTCATCGAAATCGATCGAATATAATCGAACCGGTAGGAGCTTCATAAATATCCCCAGCTCAATAGCCTCTGATCCCTCGCGTCCTGTGAGTGGATAGATTGCTCCACAAACACGCCCAATGTGCGAACGGGACATCCTAATTCTGACTTTAGATAATGTTGCGAAATAGGCAATACCGCAATCCGAATGTGTGATACTTTGTGCAAAGGAGAAAGGCCTATTTCGTTCCCTGGCGGTCGGCAAACGGTCTCCCCTCTCGCTAACACGCGAAGGGACGACGCGTACGTAATTAGTAATCAAATTGTGCTTTACCTCCGCCGGCGGGGCGTTGCTGGGCTCACTGTCCATCTGTTCAACGTGTTCTTCGCTATTGGGCGCCGTTCCAGCGTCCGCCTACAGTTGTACATTAATGGTAGCCAATTATCCCTTCTAACGTGGCAGTCACGTAAACACAGGGTGTGTCCGTAATTAACAAGGTAAGTAGGTACATTGGAGATGAGCGAATGAGAATTTTTCCATAAACAAATTTCTATTTAATTTCGAACACTGATAACAATTCTAAATTCAATTTCGAGAGGGTAGAGAATATTATCTATATTATACATATTATTATAAGAAATGGATAAACGGTACTTGGAAAAATAAATGTATAATAATATGTTTTTCACATAGCCAACACTTACGAGTAATTACCATAAGCAGAAATCGCATAAGATGTGAAAATTTTTGTTTCACATTTTACAACATTTCTAATACGTACTAGTGTTCATACAATGATATGTCTAGCAACTCGAAAGATCGTTTGCTATTTATTGGACGGGAGTCATACAAAATTGATAGAAATCTACAAAAATTACGTTAAGGTACAGACTAGGCCAATGGTATTGGGAAATATTTGTGTTTACTGCTTTCATTGTCAACATGTTAAAACAAGGCATATGGATGGTTTGAAATTCCAATAGGACTAGGCACCATCTTTTATATTAGCTTGCAGTATGAAATTGAAGATGATTTCACCAGTATAACATTGAACTTGTTGATTGTGAAACTACTAAACCCCATATTTACTGTTAAGGGAAAAATAACAAAGATTCTAAACGCCGACCACAGCGCACCGTTGAAAGAACTGGGGTCGGTTTAAGAAAAGTTAATAATAATAATAATAATATTTATAAACCCAACCAGACGAGAAAACAAATGAATATCCCCCCATAATAATAATAAATTGATCATCCCTCCTTTCGCCCAGTGTGCAAAGGGGATAGCCTAATGTATGGACTACAATAAATGTAAAGCCTGGCCTTTTAAGGGAAACCCTCTCTCTCTCTCGCTTAAAGTGCGACTGGGACAATGACAGTATCCAAATAGTAATGGTTGATAAAACATTACCTCCGGTGCGGCACTGTTGCTGGGCTCACTGTCCATCTGTTCAACGCGGGCTTCACCACTACGTGTCGATCCAGCGTTCGCCTACAGTTGTATATGTGTGAACAACGTGACGGGAGACCGGTGTGGGTTACAGATCGATTTGCAGATACGCGAACTCGATTTGGTTTTAGTTTATTTCGCAAAAATTATGCCGCGGATCCATCAATACGCTATTATCAAGTTGGACTACTGTAAAACACGATTTGATTTCTCTAGAAAATTTGAAATAAGAAAACGGCAACTTCGCTACGTGGTAAGTTTACGTTGCATCGGAATGCGGAACTCGAAGAGGTCCTACGTTGTTTTTAAATGATGTGTACGGTACAAGGAACAGTATTACTGTACTGGGGCATAAGTAAAATAGACTTAAAACAATTTGTACAAATCATTTCACAATTAGAAGAATGTTTACAAATGCCTACGTAAAAGACAGCAGCGGAATAAATGAGTAACATTCGATCACGTTTCCTTGTGACAACAATAAACAGGGCAGAAAATCGAGGACCAAATAGGACCTTATTTCTAGGTTAGAAATTTGCATATGCATATGTTTGGGAGAATATAAAATCCACGCTGTGTATCGTTTCGGAACCCTACAAGTGAGACTATAGCGGGTTAAAGTTCGCCATAACATCTAGAATAATCGTCTCACATTGCTGACGTCGATATCGGTCGAGTACGTCCGATATGGCTGATCCTACATAAATCAGGTGAAACTTACAAAATGCCCCTTAAATAAAGTTTTTTTTTTGACGAACGGACAGCCGATAACGCCGACTTTGCTACACGAATAAATTATAAAGGGAGGTGAAAACAACGCACCCGGTACGGTCAAGACTTCGGCGTTCGTTAATGTTATATTTCAGAATTTTCTAGAACGATTCATCAAAGACGTTCACGGCGCTTGTCACGAAATATCGATTGCCTATGTCCCTTTGGGCGTGTAAAAGTAGCTACGTGAAACGCTCCCATTTTTTTGTATTATTTAGCATAGCATTATGATAATCTATGTCAAGGAGATTATTGATTATAAATGAACTAAAAACGTCTAAATGGAGACAGTTTTATTTTACTGTCATTTAGAGCACGTGCGTGTTGGTGCGGATCGTCCGCCATTTTGAGAGCATATTATGAGGACATTTGGAACTTACTGCCGATATAATTTATCACAAACAGACGTACGTCTTACCATACACAGAATGATTTAGGACTACTAATTACTTAATTAGACATATTCTTTTTGAATACATGAAAATTTAAAAATTAACTTTAAAATTTTTTATTTGTAACGAAATCTTATGTGTATCTAATCTATCTTTTATTACTGTGATCACTGATCAACACTTAAGCCCCGCAAATTATATATTTCATTTGGTCAGTATACGTTTAAGGCGCTAAAGATATGACTTGTTACAGTTTTCTGAAATAGACACTTCGGTGGGGAAGAGAAGAGGCGTTCAGATTCAAAATATTCTCAATAGTTTGCAAAATTTTTGTTATAGTTACAATAGAAACAAATAGAACATTGTTATTGTTTCATACGGTAATTTAATGCGATTTTTCTAAGAATCTGATATCATGAGGTGTATAACGAATGTTTCCAACATCGTATACATTAAACCCGTAAAATATTTAAACCTTTAAATCTTTTAAACCTTTACCATAATCGAAACCTTGTTTTGTCATAAAACACGTTAGTCAATAATTCTGATAATTTTATTTAATTGCCCATACCGATTTCAAATTTTAAAGCAGTCAAAGTCAAAATCTCGAGACGAACAATGTAAAGAGTATTTTGTGCTTATCGAGGTCTGAATAGAAAAGACCAGCTAGTCCCCTAATGTGCACAAGTCTTTTTATAAGAGAAGATGGCAAACCAGAATTGGCATGGTGGTTTTGGTTATATTTTGCCCAAATGTACAATTTTTTATTAAAATTCTTCTTCTCAATTAATTGTTAAAAATTATACCGCGACCTTATACGTTAAACACTACACCGTGTTATTTTTTGTGGTAGTAGTAATAACTATTTTACTGTGTTTATATGACTAATGGACCGACCGTTGATGCCGTAGAATTGGAAGCGTAGCGAAATTACTGCGGTATCGCCACGCAGCAGCCTCGGCTGTTGCACAAATGGGCTGACTGGTCCGGTGTAATGTGGAAGTATAACAAGTACTTTCGCGTTTCGTCTGTCGAGTGAGGTGACCCTACTCTATTAAAAATTTACAACGCATCTGCAACCATACAGGTGTTGCGAATGGCCATGGGCGGCAGTTATCACTTAACATAACACTTTACTATGTATGTAAACCGCTTAGAGCGTTCAGAAGAGGTTTTTATGCCACTTATCATACAGCTGCAACCTGGCAAAAACACTTCCTAGCTATGAAGAACGCTTGAGACACTTGCAAACCCTTTTTTTTTTGGACGATGGCCGCTTGACCCCACCTTTCTGTATAAACTGGTTATTGGGCAGATTGATATTACATACTTTATTTCTCAGTTAAACTATACCTAGAGGATTAACAAGACCTTTGAAGCACACTCCATTTACTTTAATTAAAGACAAGACGCTCAAAGTTTGAACAATTTTCTCCTTTAAATAGATTAATGAGAAGTGACAATGCGGTTCATAAAACAAGCGCGGTGGATATCAATTTAAAATGTGATCCAAACATAGCTCTCGAAGATATTTTTCAGACAATTCGTACAAATTCAAATATTACACGCCACAGACTGCAGTTTAACAATTGCAACCTACCTAATTAATGTGTTATAGGTGTAATTTTTTCTTTCTTATATTTTTATTTCTATTGTAATGATTCATTTATTTCGTTTTGATAATTTTAATTTAATTTTTAACACTGTTGACGATGTCTACTGTGTTGGTGCAACTAAGTAAATAAATAAATAAACATCAGGTGAACCACCAGCTCGCTTGCCATTTCCTCACATAAAAATAGTAGAAATTAAAAGAAAAACGCGATATAATAGCTTCAATAGACTCGATGCAGTTTCTTCGTAAAATAAATTATTGGACACGCGCCCAGACGCTGTAGGCACTAAGCGAAGTCTTATCTATGAACTTTGTTTTAATTGCATTTAGCGATGCTTGGCGTGTTAACCATAGCGTGCGGGTTCTAATGCTGGCAGCAAGGAGCACTTGAAATAAAATTTACCAAGTTAAAAATTAAGAAACGTGAATGAATGAATGAACTAATTATTGAGTTTCAAAAAATAGCGTAATTATATTAACAATTGTTTGAAAATATAACGAAATGTATGAAACTAAATAGGTAACGGTAATATGTACCATGTGAATTTAAATTAAAAAAAAAACAACGTTGGACATCATCGGTTGGAATGTGACAATGAATGTTTTCGCCTTGTGTTACGAGAAACAAAAATTGTAAAAAAAAAAAGCGAAAAATTATTGTAAAACACAACTGGGAACCGAACGATATCTGCAAATCGTGGATAAATCAAACAGCAACAAAACATATTAAACTGATGTATTATGTGCGCAGAGGGGGGATTTTTCAATCGAAAGATCATGGTCATTTTTATTGTTCAATTCCCCTCCGTGACTGCGCTCAAACTGTGGACACGTCAGCATCACAGGTGAATGTTGGGAAAACGATGGACGTAAAGGAAAACGAGCCTTATTGCCGCCCATTTGCACCGTATCGAAGTGAAAACGCTGTGCTCTTGCAGCGTCAGTAAACACCGGGTTCAACGATCGAAACTCGACAACAAATCTTTCTATGCGCATTCTGTAATCACACAATCCACTTGTGTCCCCAAGTACAGTCGTAATCAGAACCGTAGGCACCCGCAGGCGGTTGAAATAATAATAGAATTGCACTCGCAAAAAAATAAAGGATTTCACATCACAATTTTTTTTTAATACATTTTATTGTCTTCTTTTTAAATGTTCTAATCTCAGTTTTATTTTTGGAAATAGGTATTCAGTGAAAGCTTTACCTCATTTCATGTAATCAGCGGGATTGTGGTGCAAATTACAAACAAACCATGCTATTCCACAACAAAGGCGTGGAACCAAAGGACTATGTTGGCAGTTATTTTAGTTAGTTATTTAAGTTATTTACATATTTGATGATAGTCATGGATGTTTTTATTGAAATAAATTATTTTGAAATTCATCACTGGCTCAACAAATAAAAATAAAAAACTAAAATTTCTCACAGTGCTGTGAAACAGTATTGTGCAACAAGGGTGAAGTTGTGGACTAATAATTAAAATTATATACATTATTTCTCTCAACCTAAACTTGTAAGCGCAAATAACCGGGTTAGACGTCACTAAAGGCCCATTTACACGATGCCATTTTCTTGAACATACAAGAGCAATAATTGAATGCAATAAATTGCGCGCAATAATTGTTTAGACCATGCAACTCATTTATTGCTTCAATTTAATTGTATACAACAGGCAAGAAACTGGCACCGTGTAAATGGGCCTTAAGTCACTAATACAGGCCAACCAAGTTTGGAATCTTGTAGTCTTCTTCTCCCGAATGAGTTGTTCCACTGCCTAAGCACAGTACGAACACGTGATTCTGTTAATTCCACAACAATTTCGAGCTCAGTTGTACTTTCGTGCGGTCCACCCGCAGATCAAACACGACGCTATCGCTCGTGAAATAAAGTCGCCTTTTCTTCTCCATTGTAGCTGCACTCAACTTTTGCGTACACTCGCGCACGAAAGCGTCTCACTTCGATACAGATGGACGCGCGACAGCGGGCAAGCGGGGTGGGGCTGGGTTGCTTTGACTTCGGTGGTGGCGACTGTACTTACCCTTTGCTCGATATGGCTGCGGAGGAGTGCCAGCGATATCTTTATTTCGATGATGATGCGCCGGATGAACTCCAAGCGCCTTGAGGTCGGCGATATGTTCATCGACTGCTGCTCGTCGTTCCGTACACCAGAGGAGGTGATTGCCTGCATTTAAGTACTCGATACATTGGGAATTAACTTTCACAGGCGGCTAGTTCCGTCGCTGCCTCTTAAGCACTGTGTCGGTGTCAACAGTGTCAGTCAAATGTTATGTCGGTAAATTAAATAAAAGTAGGTAACAGCCTACACATGTCCAACTGCTGGGAAAAGACCTCCCCTGTTCCGTACAGAGGTCTTTGCCCAGCGGGGTATATTAGGGTATTATTAGCATAGTCCAACACGCGACCCCAATGCGTCATGGCGGACTATAAATTTCTTCGAAATATTTTTTTAATAGAAGAAAGAATCAGATGCGATTAACGGTAATAAGAGTAATTAACGCCCACTACGGTGACCATAAATGACCTTTAAGAGGACCCTAAACATCTCATTGACATTGGCGTCAAAGAATAAACACATCCAATTTACACTGGTCTTCTATAAGGCTGTTATTTAAGATGTAATAAACTTGAAGAGCCGAAGCTGTTAAGAAGGCTTCAATGCAAGAGTATATCTATTAAATCTCGCCCTTAGATTAATCAGGCCCTCAGACGGGACAAAATGCAAAAACTCACAACAAACAACATCTTCGTGAAATTTCATTCACACATCCACCGATTATCGTGAAGTGAACATATTTAGCTGGTTAACAAAACTGAAGGGAGTGGCCATGCTCCTACCAGGATCACGGTGCTGACTGTACGGCGCAGCCGCCGAGGACGTAGCCTATTATCGATCGGCCGTCTAGTGGCGTGGAACCGGGCGCGATGTGTAAAACGTGGAACCGTCAATATTGTAAAGTACAGTCTGACCAGTATAAAAGGTCGTACCATCATATTTATGGTCAACATCGTGACATTTATCTGTGGGTCACACGAATACTAGGCCCACGCGTGGACAGAACACACTCCTCGGCACCGAATTCACTAGCTAAGCAACTGCGCCACCGAGTCAAGCCAAAACCGTACGAGCGGTGCGGCCAGGAGATAAAAAAAAGTACTTTACTAAAAAAAAAAAGAAGTGGACAAACAACTCTATACCTCAGAGGCATACAATAGTAACTACACATTTCTCAAAATTATTTTCCTTACACCATTAAAATCATAAGAACAAATTCATACACATTAGTATAAAGCATTAACTCCCACGTCGCCTATTTAATAAAATATCCAATCATATATGACATCATAATCAATAATGCATTCAATGATTCACTCCACGCGTTTTTGTCTCGTCTGTAAAATTTGTGCTTTGACGGATAAAGCTATTTACCTCCGAGGTACAGAACTGTCCATCCGCACAAGTGCCTAACACTAGCGGTAGCCTCGGCGACCGCAACGAAGCGGACACGCAAGGATATTTAATGCGAATGAAACAAAGAACAGAACAACAGTTGCGCTCCCTCCGCCGCTGCGAGCTGCGGGGGAATCCCCAGCGATGAAGGGAGACGGCAACAGTTGATCCGCCCGCGCCCACCATTAGTCGCCGGATCTGCTGCTGGGTGCCCGCTGGGTTGCGGTCGATGGGAGTTGCGGAGGAGCTGCTGCTGCTTCCGCTGCCCTCGCCCCCTCCCCCGTTACGGCCCCCTGCCCCGCTGCCGCCCGCGCCGCTCGTGCCCGCCCCGCTGGTGCCCTCGCCGCTCGTAGAGTCTTCGTCGCACGGAGGAGACGCTGCCATTTCACGCCACTCGAGACCAGGCGGCGGCCGCTGCACCAGGTGCATTACCTTCCCGTCCACCTCTGCGCAGCGCGAGAGCGCGTAAGGCTTTATTGTGGCGTTTTTTTTTTTCACAGAAACCCTCGTTAGAATAAGACTGAACTATGCGCTCATCGAAATACTGCCCCGCCGAGGAAACGACTCATTCGTAATTATTTCAATATAAAATATTTATTTCGGGGCATATTTTTACACGACGTTATCTAGTGCCAAATTAAGCAAAGCTTCCACTATGGGTACTAGGTAACTGATAAAACATTACTTAAATGTACTTTTATTTGGTAAATTAACACATATTATAAATATACACAGACACTAAAAATCCTACAATTGGGTTGTAAATGTTTCATATTATGTGGTTCTGTTATTTGTTGGTAATTTTATTCCGTTATAAATTACAGTCAGTTACAACCATTGAACAAAAAACATGATGTGCACAAGCTATGTTTAGTTAAATAAATTTATGAGTTTCTGAACAGCGTTTGTATTGGATAACAATTTTATAAGTTAAACATTGCTACAATTCCTAAAAACATTTTTTCTTCGGATGCAATCTTGATCAGGATGACGAGCCGCGATACTGGCCGCCTGAACACTCTTCCCGTAGTCCTTTCTAGTAGAGTAGAGAGAGTAGAGTAGAGTCTAGTAGAGTAGTATCGTAGCACTTCGCCCCTAGGCGACACCGCGACATGCCTCGGGGTAGTGTTCAGCCTCGGCGACTAGCACGATGTCGCCGACGAGGTGTTTGTTCCTTGAAACTTTTCTACGAGACACCATTAACGTTGGTAGACCTTAAGCCAACACCTTCAAAAAGGGTCGGTTAGAGACGTTGCCCTGCTCGCCAGGAATCTTATTCGCTAGCGCTGCGTCGTAGAAGGTGGAATAAATATTCAATATTGTACGCCTGTAGGTCTTCGTCTTCGTTTGTAAGTACAAACCTTTTGTACGCATATGAAGCTCTCTAGAGTCTAGGTTGAGTATTTTGTGCCCCCCTACTTCTTCAATGTTCAGATCATCTCGCGGTCCATCTGGGCCTATTTCGTTGGCTCATTTCCGAGTAGGGTGATGGTCGAACCTTCGTCGAGTAACGCTTGTATTGCACGTTTTCCTTTAAGACCGTGGGACTTGGACAGGCACAATTTTGAAATATGCTTTGGTTGTCGTCAATGCGTACACCGAAGGGTAATTTTCGTTACTCGCTGCGAGCTGGAGGCGGTGGGCGGGATCCTACCTGCATATTGTCTTGGTTTGCATCTTGCGCATCCTTTTGATTTGCACATTAAGCCCCTATGTCATTCCAGTTTTGGAAACTGAAAACAGGCGTTATTTTTCTTGACCATTTCCCATTTTCATTCAAGCCTCGCCTCCGTGAAGATATGACATTCTTTAATTTCATGGTCTTTGTTGCATACGGGGTAGGACTCGGTTTATTTGTGGAAGGCGACAGTATCATTAGGCATACAGTAGTGGGGATCCACCCTCTCCGGTGGAAGCGAACTCTGGCGAAAGTGGCAGATTCACTACCCATAGGCCAATCGGGTCGTCAGATATTATAATGACATTATAATTTTAACTATGGTAGGGGCACGCAACAATCTTCTCTGTTGCACGAATAGGCAGCTGCGATACCACAACCACACAGAAGACAGGAGTGAAGTGGGAGTGTTATATTTCTGCGTTTCGTCTGGTGAGTGACGTAACTGGAGCCTACTTTATCAAGAATGGACGACGTATGTGGGCAAATGCTAATGGGCGGCGGTTATCACTAAAGATCAGGTGAACCGCCACTTATATAACATTATTATTCTAGCTTTCCCTTCTATAGCTCGCCTAGATATATTCTGTACGTCAGAGAAAGGTACAGCCGTATCTTATTTCATTTGCTGTTTTGAATGCCATGCATTAATAGTAGTTCTGTGCGCTGGGTGTGCCTCTTGTTTGAGGCCCCTTCTCCTTTTTCACGGCATCAGTTTCTTTATCATGGTTCCACATGTTCCCGACACTCTCAACCGACGATCTCTCGACCCATTCGGCAACCCGTTGTTGATTGCCGAAGCAATTGTAGTTTTGTTTCACCCCGTGTTTGACCGACGCTCGCGCCTGTTCCATCTACAATCGTTGAAGCTCTAGTTCTTTCTTCTAGTTTTCTAGTTGTACTTTTAGTTCATCTCGGCGTCCTGGCCATCCAAGTGCCTATTTCCTCCCTGCCTAGATATTTTTCTTCTCACTTCTCATTTTCCCCCATATCTATTATGATGCCACCCTGTAGCGTCTGGGCTGTTGTTGCTGACGTATCAGTAGTGCCGTGGTCGCGTCGGTTGTAGCCGATGAGTCTTCTCTAGTTGTGGTCTCTTACGTGGTTGTGTTTTATTCCGTGCTTTGCGCCCTGGTCTTCAAAATGGCCACCGACGGTGGCACGACTCCCTGGCCTTGATTGGTCGTTTGCTGACAAGCATACCTTTGGCACCGTTAGGTTCTACGTTGTGAGCAACGGTATAGAAGTAGGCAGTGGTAAATTATTTTCTATCAGCCGTTTGCTGATAAGCTTACCTTTGGCACCGTTAGGTGGTACATTGTGAGCCACGGTATAGATGTAGGCAGTGTTAAATTATTTTCTATCAGCCGTTTGCTGATAAGCTTACCTTTGGCACCGTTAGGTGGTACATTGTGAGCCACGGTATAGATGTAGGCAGTGTTAAATTATTTTCTATCAACCGTTTGCTGACAAGCGTACCTTTGGCACCGTTAGGTGGTACGTTGTGAGCCACGGTATAGATGTAGGCAGTGTTAAATTATTTTCTATCCGCCGTTTGCTGATAAGCTTACCTTTGGCACCGTTAGGTGGTACATTGTGAGCCACGGTATAGATGTAGGCAGTGTTAAATTATTTTCTATCAGCCGTTTGCTGATAAGCTTACCTTTGGCACCGTTAGATGGTACGTTGTGAGCCACGGTATAGATGTAGGCAGTGTTAAATTATTTTCTATCAACCGTTTGCTGACAAGCGTACCTTTGGCACCGTTAGGTGGTACGTTGTGAGCCACGGTATAGATGTAGGCAGTGTTAAATTATTTTTCTTAGCGTACCTTTGGCACCGTTAGGTGGTACGTTGTGAGCCACGGTATAAATGTAGGCAGTGTTAAATTATTTTCTATCAGCCGTTTGCTGATATGCTTACCTTTGGCACCGTTAGGTGGTACATTGTGAGCCACGGTATAGATGTAGGCAGTGTTAAATTATTTTCTATCAGCCGTTTGCTGATAAGCTTACCTTTGGCACCGTTAGGTGGTACATTGTGAGCCACGGTATAGATGTAGGCAGTGTTAAATTATTTTCTATCAGCCGTTTGCTGATAAGCTTACCTTTGGCACCGTTAGGTGGTACATTGTGAGCCACGGTATAAATGTAGGCAGTGTTAAATTATTTTCTATCAACCGTTTGCTGACAAGCGTACCTTTGGCACCGTTAGGTGGTACGTTGAGAGCCACGGACAACGATATACACGATAATGAATTAACGTACAACGTAGATGGTAGTTTAACATAGGATTAAGACCTTAATTACATCGCAAGCAAAGCCGACGTATTTTTTTTTTTCATTTAATCGTGGATAGTAAAAAAAATTGGTTATCTTTAATGGTATCGATATAAAAAATCCTAAAATTTTTCATAAATGCAAATATATGACAAAGAAACACAAACAAAATCCAATATATCATTTCTAGTTGCCCATTGTCGATAAAGGCGGTCGCTAGGTTAAGGCAATAAATTATTTCAGATAAAACCGTGAGTTGTGGCCTAATTGATATTTAGTTCCTCATTATTGGAGAGCTTCAAAACTTCCATGCAATTATTTGCAGTATGTTGTATACTTATTATGTGCAGCTACTTTGGCGCATACAACATTAACCAACCCAATCAAATGAAATTGTAACATTTTGTATAAAGTCGCCAATGTGTACACTAATGACGACGATCGACGACGAATAGGTACGAATTAGTCTTACTATACAAAACGTGCGTAAAAACCTAATGTCTGCCACAATCACGGTGCTTTGCTTTCGTGTGTCTACATTGTTTTATTCAAGCCATGCAAATGTGCTCTATATTGACGAGCAACATTCAAATGAGCCTCTGAGTTTTATTCGACCGAATACTAAATCGTTAATGTAACATGAATTTTGAGTTATTATATATCATATGGGACTGCTTCGAAAATAATTTGGCACACCGACGCACAAAATACATTCAACGAATACGTACTTATATCAGACAGTCTTTTGCCATTGTGAAGAACGCGTCCGCAGAAGATCAGGCGTTGTGATCTTGGCTCAATACCCAATCTCTCTTGGACCTGCGCCTTCAACTGCCCAATGGTGGTCTGAGGAGATAAGAAAATGTTAATTTTTCCGAAATTGATCTCTACAAATTTATCAATCGCAAAGTCTTATTACATTTTCTCGATGATGGTCGCACGCTTCAATAGAAAATTCCTTTCGAATGTAGTTGTCTACTCCTTAAATCAGAACAGTCACCATTCCGCGAAATTTATGACTATGCATAATAATTGCCAAATTATCTACTCGCTTATCAATACTAACACTAGAAGAGACATGGGATATAAGATTCTAATAATAGAAGTTCGGAAAGGTGGGTGCCGCTTCGAGAAACTTCCACCCTGCGCCGGTGGCCGCCCATCGATCGGTCTGTCTCGCAATTGCGCATGTACCGCGTCCCGGAAGCAGCGCGGGCCCGTTTCTCGTCTCCCGGTAATCGATTGAGCTGCCGGGCGACAGACATGCGCACAGGACGCGGACGTTTCCCGAAGGATGCTCGGGCTCAACAAAATGGCGGACCCGCAACGCCCATCCCAAGGCGATTACGTCCGATCGATACAGGCCGATTTGGATATTTTATATTTTTTTTAATCGTATTTTATTGATACGATAGCAATAAATACAATTAAAACGGTTTAATTTCATACCTCCTACTCTATTTCGATGCTAGCAATTTCTAGCAACTAGCCTTAGACAGCCATTTTGAATTTGCCCACAAAAATTTTTGTGATCTCAAATTGGCGATGACAACAATAAGATTGAGATTGAAAATTCAATAATTTAGGTAAAACATACTGATCAGTGCAGCAATAAAGCACAATGCATAGGAAAATAGTTCCATATTAATACAATTCTTACGAATGAGGTATTGTGGTATTTCAGTTTGTCTTCGCTTTGCATTCTAAAATTCTTAGCGAGCAATAAGAAACAAAATCATATTATTTTCTGAGGGTATGCAAATTATGTTACATGTGTTATAACATTTTATATGTTAATGAAAATTCCATTAACATATAACATATAATATAATGAACAAAGAAATACAGTTATAACTAAAGAACTGGCAAGTAATGGATGTATTTCGCAAGGCTTCAATATGTCAATAAACCAAATTATGGTATAATGAGAGCAATTGATTTTGAAAATTTTACTCGATCCTAAATTAAAGAATACTTTGGGTTGTGTTTATGCAAAATATTAATGTTTCTAAACAAACCCTATTTAAAAACATTAGAGGTTCAGAAAAGATTCTCAAAAAACTTCATAGTGTAACATAATAAAAGGTGTATTTTCTATCTTATGGTAGATTTGATACTGAATATTCATTTAAATGAGAGAAAACAGGCAACATATTCTATGATGGATTTATCACGGAATAATTTCTACCCATATTAATTTTATTTTTACATATAAATTAAAATTTGAAATCATGGTCTGGTCAAGCCACACTTGTTTTTAAGGTGTTTCATAAATGAACAAGAAATAGTAGAACACAAAACTTTTTTCAAGACCATAGGGTGAACAAAGACAATGCAACAAAAAAATTATAACAGATTTTTTTTATTAAGGCCTAATATGCAAATAACATGAAATTTTTTCGAACTTGCACCCATCATAATTATTTAATTCATGTCTCACTTAAAATGAGAAATGAACAAAGTAATAGTGAAAATGAAAAAGTGTGAAACAAAGAAGTAAGAAAAAATTAATACACTAAAATACTGAAGAACTAATAGAGAAGTATTTTTGGGACTTAGGCGACATCTTGAGTCCATTGCAAATAATCAATAAGTATACGCCCAAAGATGTCAAACGCAATCAATACTGCAATGGTTTGTAACAATCGCTCTGCTGATAATTTTTTACAGCTTGTGATATCAATAAAACCCCAAAAATTAAGAAAATGTATCACTAACCTCGTCATCAAGGGAGAAATCGTGATTATTGCCGTCTAATGTTTTTATGGTGAATTCAATCATGATTCACATGAAAGCAATTCCACCCCACCAAAAATGATGGAGAGTATCGTTCCTGCGAAACAAAACCACACTTGAATAAAATATTCGAAAATTCCACAACGTAAATCACTCTTGCTGATACTCACGCTTACTAGCGAATAAGTGGCGAATAATTCTATACTCCGTCTATGCTTCCCAAGTCCCAACCCCTTGCGAGAAAGAAAGAACGAACAGCAGTGTTGTTAGCTTAGTTTAAGTAGTCCCTAAATTTTTATATCTCAAAATAAGAATAAAATGCTTATAAAATATACATTTCTAGTAGTTACATGCACAATAATATGAAGCTTGTAATTTTATATACAGATTTATGAAAATTAGGAGAGGTAATTTAAAATAAATATTTGTTTAAAATTTTAGGTAAATTTTAACAACAGATATAGCCACACTTAGATCAATACTAGAATTGGGTCACTAGATACGTTTCATTACAGATAGCGATAAACATCGATATAATAAATATCAATGTTTACTAAACTCGATGTTATCATTCTCGAATTAGTTTAGTTACCGTGAAGTATTGAACACTTTTTTAAAATTATATAACATATATGCACAAAAAATACCTACCCCATGAAAAAACTTAAGTAAAATTGAACAAAATTCTTAAAGGTTATCATAATATTCAATATTTTACTGAGCGATTTTAAAAAGCTTTTTAAATTAATCTTACATTTTCCTAGATAAGTTTAGCTTGATACAAACAAGAAATTCTCTATGACCCATAGGCAAATAACGAAACGATTATTCTCGGTCGCAGTCCTCGATTCTCTTATTCGTTTTTCTTCAATTTCAGTTTAATAATCTGTTGTATTAGAAAAAGTAAAGTAATGATACGTTGCGCAGGTGTGTTATTTATTGATTTTCTCCCAGGGAGTTACATAACACTAAAATTCTATACTTGTAAATTATATTTGACATTGTATGCTTGTAAATTATTTACCAAATGTTCATAGTAAAATAAAACCTTCTCCATTTTTATATGGACATGTACATGGCCATAGCATAGAATCAAAAAACAGTGTCCAATGTCCTATGGACATTCAGTTGGAACCATAGATAAGACATATATACTGAAATAGATGAGACACTCGACAAAACAACTATTACTGTTTACCCGCCCTGTCCGCTAGATGGTGCCAGCGCCTTTGTGAGCTACCTACCTATACATATAGCTATAAATTATATACTAGATGGATTGTTTCAAAGGGATAATGTCTAAAACGATTCCGCTTCGTGCTCTCGTACGGAACGGACGTCTCTCTAAGACGGAGGGCACATGCCACCCGAATTAGACGCCACTCGCAACCTCGGTTGCAATTTCAATCTTATGCAAATAGTGCAGTAGTTTAGTGTTGTGCTCGTAGGCAGGTTCCTGTTTGTAAGTAGAATCCTACACACACTTCTCGCCTCAGAGGCGGCATTGTTTCATTTATTAACTGTGTGCTTGTTGCAATAGGCGACAGCTAGGTACCCATCCTAGCGCACCTAAAGCGCAGGCAAATTTGTTGTTATTTCTAGGCACACTCCTCCCTGCCGCAAAGTGGGGAGGCTTATTTAGCTCACACACGCCGGCGGGGCTACAAGCCCCAAAGGCACTTACGTCGCGATGGGCTCCCTTTTCGAGGAGTTCGTACGCAAAGAATGCCCCGCTATGTGGGAACGTTTTCTCGCTTATGAAGCCGAGCATAGGCAATTAGCTGAACTCGCATCGCCGCCATTGCCCGCACCATCTGCGCCCGTTACCCCGTCGCCCTCCGCGACCTTAGAAGCTCCCGTCGCGTCGGCATCGGCTAACGCGAACACGCCCGTAGCGCCTTCCGCGCAACCAAACCCGACCTCTTTTCGCTCCGTCGTACCCGACTCACAATCGGACGGCGGATCGGACGTGGAGGTCGAAATGACCCCCGCTGAAAACGCGAACGCCGACGGCTTCACCGTCGTTAAATCGCGTAAAAAGGGCAAAAAACGCCCCGCTGCTGACAGCGAACCCGAATGCGAGGCCGCCTCAACGATCCGTCCCACCGCGACGCCCGCTAAAAAGGCGGCCGCGGCGGCTAAACCGATGCCCGAATTCGCCTCCGATCGAAAAATAAAGCCTCCTCCACCCATCATCATTCAGGAGAAGGCTAAGTGGCACCAAATTTGTTCGTGGTTTGAACGCCACAATATCCGCGACCCCCGGTCGAAAAACACGCATATGGGTATCCGCGTATACCTTGACACTACGGACGACTTCCGTCGCGTAACTAAGTACTTGCGCGAAAACAAGATAGGTTTCCACACCTACTCTTTGCCCGAAGAAAGAAAACTTCGGGTAGTAATCAAGGGCGTCCCCAAAGTCGGATGTCGACAAGGCGAAGACCGACTCCTCCGCACTCAGGCATACCCTGTGCATAACGTACGCCGCCTCAGGCACCCTAGAACCCGTGTCCCTATGGACATGGTGATGGTTGAACTTGACCCTACCCCAGAAGGTAAGGCCATCTTCAACCTGAAAAGGGTCTGTGGGCTCAGCGACCTCGTGATCGAGCACCCGCGAAGATCGGGAGTTGTGGCGCAGTGCCACAACTGCCAACACTATGGCCACACGGCTAATAATTGTTTCGCTCACCCTAGGTGCGTCAAATGCACCGGTGACCACGGCACGCCCGATTGTACGCGGCCAAAAGATTGCGCAGATCCACCGGACTGCGTTAACTGTCATACCACCGGCCACCCGGCTAGCTACAGGGGCTGCGCTAAGGCCCCAAAAACTCCCGCGAGAAAAGCTCCCGCGAAATCTACTTTGCCCAAACCCGCGCCCGTGAAATACGTTCCCGCGCCCGTACCCGTCGTAAACGCCTGGGCGAAACCCCAGGTGGCGCAGGTAGTTGCGCCCCCGGTCGCCTCACGACCAATCGCTCCCGCCTATCAAACGGCGCCGACGCCGCAGGTGCAGTCGACACCGTCGGTTTTCGCCGAAAACAAGGACGACCCGTTCGCCCAAATTGCCAACATCTGCGCCTTATTAGACCGCATTAATAGACATGAACTCGCCGTATTGTCCGCTAAAATAGCGGCCGCCACATCTGACAACGCGCGATTTAAAGCCATTAGCGAACATAAAATGCTTGTAGAAGCCCTCTGGGCATTTACAAGCCAACCATAAACTTAATAGTCCGCGCAATAAAACCATAAAAAACTTTAATGGGAAGTACAACCGCTGGTAGAACAAAAGCTCGGGCTCTGGTTGTTTCGTATTTCAACGTAAACGGCATAAAGGGTCAAAGGGACGAAATCGCGGAATTCCTTCGCGATTATAACATAAATATTTTTCTAGTGCAAGAGACATTCTTAAAACCTATTGTAAGCGATCCCAGAATCGCAAACTACAACATAGTCCGCCTCGACCGGTTAGCAAACCGTCTGAGAGGCACCTTAATTTATTACAAACGGTCCTTGCACTGTAGCCCGCTCGACATTCCAGAGCTAAGCCATATAGAGGCATCCGCGTGTAGGTTAGCGCTCACCGGCCATAGGCCGCTTGTACTAGTCTCAGCCTACCTCTCGGGGAACAAAACCTTATTACAAAGCGACCTAGATACGCTACTTAACTTAACTTAGGCCCTTCCGTGATAATTGCAGGAGATCTAAACTGCAAACACGGCTCATGGGACATCCACAACATCCCAAATAACAACGGAAAGCATCTCTTTAGCTTATCCGATAATTTAAACTTTAGCATAATTGCTCCTGCGACTCCCACTAGGTATCCTACGGTGGACAACTACCAACACGCGACACCGAGTATCCTAGATATCATGTTACTCAAGGAGGTCTCGCACGAGATCGAGTCGATAGAGACAATCCATGAACTAGACTCAGATCACAGGCCCGTCCTGTGTAAACTGGGCCAGAACGCCGGCGCGGTCCCTCCGACCAAATCCTTAGTGGCCTGGCATCGTCTTGAGGTCAAACTCAAGGCCTTGGACCCCCAGGACTTAGTCGACCTACCCGAGACGATAGCTACGGTCGATGACGCAAATCGAGCGATAGCAAGTCTCCGAGAAATCATCACTTCCACAGTCGCAGACTCGGAACGGACGGTTAAACTGTCGGGCGATCGACGGTTTAACTTTCCGCAGACGACTGGAAAGAAGCCAGGGTTATCGGCATTCGCAAGCCTAATAAACCAGCCAACCAGCCCTCTAGTTATCGTCCAATCAGCCTCCTCAGTTGCCTGGGGAAGCTCTACGAGCGACTTTTATTAAACAGGCTCAATGAGCACGTGTTTTCCAACGGCCTTCTGCCGGCGGAACAATTCGGCTTTCGAGTTAGACATTCCTGTCCCGATCAACTATTCCGCCTAACGGAACATATCCTAAAAGGCCTAAATCACCCTAAACATATTAGTACAGGGGCTCTTTTCTTCGATGTCGCAAAAGCATTCGACAAGGTCTGGCACAACGGCTTGCTTTACAAGCTGTACACACTCAAAGTGCCAGATAGGCTCGTACACACCATTCAGGCCTTCCTGTCGAACCGCTCTTTTCGATATCGAGTTGAAAGCACCCTCTCCACAAGCCGCCGCCTCACGGCCGGCGTACCACAAGGCTACACGAGTGATATACCTAAAGACCCCCACGTCAATCTCGCGCTTTTCGCGGATGACACGGCGCTCTTTTATTCAGACCGCAACCTTAGACAACTAACCGCTCGACTCCAAAGCGCTGCCGACCGCCTCGGCGATTGGTGCCGCAAATGGAGAATAGAAATAAATCCCGAAAAGAGTGTGGCGATTCACTTCACACGAAGTACTTACCCGTCACATCTTTATAATGGCCCTCGTCAATGCAGAAAGTTGGGGCAAATATCCCTTTATGGCCAACCGCTCCCCTGGGAGAAAAAGGTCAAATACTTAGGAGTCACTTTCGACTCGCGTATGTCATTTACTACACATATTAATAACGTTCGCAATAGAG